ATCAGGGTTCAAAACTGCTGTTGCATTTGAAGCGACTAGGATTTTAGATGTACTTAATTATCCAAATTCTATCTTAGATTATAATCTCAGTAAATTTCAGCCACTTTAAACTAACTTTACAAATTCATCTAGCATTAACCACTGCCAAAAATTCAATTAGTTTTGGTGCAGAAACTATCCTCATCTTTAGCAGTAACTATTACCTTCCAATTACCACCCAATTACTTATGTTAATGATTACTGTACCACTGAAACCAAAATATATTTGGGATTGCAAATATATTGAAGCTTTTAAAATTGAGCAGGTTGTAACATCTTTAATTTTTCCCCTTTTTTCACTTATTTTTAATTATTTCCTCCCATTGGAATAAAGAGACAATGAAGCTACTCAGAAGAGTGATTGCTCTCTGATGACAGACAAGTATCCCCCAAATGGTTATTTTCCGAATAAAAAGTGGCTTCCCAAATACTAGTGGTTTTTTTCAGAACAAAGCTTTGTGGAATTATGTCCTCTTCCAGACTGAGAAGAAAAGTGACAGCACAGGATTCAAGTCCCCTGGGCCAGGTTAAATTTTCCCTTAATGTGATGCTGTCCTGCTTAACAAGTCGGCAATGCACGTTATCATAGAATCAGAGAATGGTCTGGGTTGGAAGGGACTTTAATGAATGTGTAGTTTCAACCCCCTGAAATGGGAAGGGGCACCTTCCAATAGATCAGGTTTCTCAAAGCTCCATCCAAGCCTGGCCTTGAACACTTCCAGGGATGGGGCAGCTACAGTTTCTCTGGGCATGCTGTTCCAGTGCCCCTCCACCCTCACATTAACTATCTGATTAACTGCCAGAGGATGTTTTAATTCTGGCTTAAGTCAGTCTGTCTGACTGTGAACATCATTGTGAATTTCTTCACAAAGATTATCATATTTGGGGACAGGGTGTGCATATCTTGCTACCGTAAGCATCTAACTCTACATGGTGCTTAGACCATCAATGGTGTTTTTTTTCAGAAGACGATACTTTTCCTTTGAGTCTAAGTATTAAACTGCTGTTTGATTTGCTTAACTAGGTCTCATTTAAACATATCTTGAATATTTCTTACTGTTTTCTGCTATTTGTTTTAATTCTTTTGAACATGATATACATTCAAATACTCAATGACTAAAAGCATTTGCATTTAATGCATATTAAAAAGCATGTGCATTTAATGCATATTGTCTTAAAAAGGAGAATTGGTCAAAAAGTCTGAAGAATGTTTTAGCAGCCACCTCTCAATTCTCTAAATCTTATCCATCTAACCAAATTTTACTTTTACATAAACTAGCATGTATGTCTTTATATGATCAGATTCACTGCTAGCTAAAATTTTTATACTTTAGGAAGTAAGCATTCCTACTTTAATCCCATTCGAATAAATACTCTAAACTCTTGATCATAGAAATTCTTAATCACCTCAAAAGTACTTCAATGAATTTTCAGATTTATCCTTCTATTAATTGCTCCTATGTTGTATCTTCCTTTCTTATAGCCCAGCTGGACACCAATTAAAGTTGTGCATATAATCATCTTGCAGACAAAGATCTTCAAGGAATACGTTCTGCCTTTTATCTCAGAGATAAGAAAGAATTTATTTGGACAAAAATGGGATTTTTAATGCAAGACTTCTGGAAAAACTAAATGATTTTACAATGTCATTAGGTTTATGAAACTGGCTTCAGGGTTTTCCCTGTGAAAACAAGATCAAACTCTTCTTAGAGTCATCATGCTTCCTTAGCACTGTTTTCTTCCTCCTATGGCTCCTAAGGAAAACTACCATAACTTGAAAAGAAATATTAAAATGCTGATAAACCCCTACATGATTTGACTTTGGAAAGCAGTAGTTTTCTAAATGGCAATTATCAGTGCTAAAGCAATGTATGAGGTACTGACACTGATCTGTTTCCTCAGAACGTTGTTCCAGTCTGAAAAAAGGGATAGCACATATACTCACATTGTAATAGCTGTTCAGGTTAATGTTAGAGACATAGTCTCTAAGCAGAATTTTGACTGTAATTCTGTTTTCACACTGCATAAGCCATTTTGACTTTCACCATATTCCCATGCTTTCTGAGTGAAGCTGATTTCATGCTTAACAATGCAGAACAGCTTCTTAATCCAACTATCTAAATAAATTCCTACAAGCTTTAGACACTTTAAACTGAACCCCTGACCTAAGCTACTGATGTTACTATTCCTTGGTGTAAAAAATTGAAATAGGACAAGGATCAGCAACCCATTCTACTGGAATCTGCTCTCACAAAACTTTCATGACTTTGGAAACCTTTTTTCTTTTTTTAAAAAAGTTTAATTTTTTTTCCTTAAATTTTCTCCTGAAAAAGACATATTACAAGGAGAATTTAGGATCTTCTGTAGGTTGAAACCTGCTTACAAAATCATTTAAAGAGAGATATCTTAAAAATCTGGTCCTACTTTTCAGCAGAGACAGTTGCAAACATGCTACTCTTATTGACTTACTATCCATGACTGAACCAGAACTGCAAAAGCTGACTGTATTATTTTCATCTGCTGATAAGCTGTACATAGATGTTTATGTTTACTTAGGTAAAACATAATTTACTATTTGATACCATTGTTGGTCTTAAAGATTTCATAATTCACTATATAGTCTAAATGTTTCTTTTGTACATAATATATTTATCATCAATCAATATTGAAAAAGTTTGACAAGTTTTTTGCACTAAGTTGATTTATTATCGCTCTGGATATAAAATCAAAAGTGCTGCATTGCTCTTCTGTTCTAGGATTGAATAAGGCTTTGAAGTGGTTAAGAATAGAAATCTTGGAAATCATAATTAGCACCTTTGTGGATTACCAAAGAAAGTTCTAGATATTTCAGTTTTGAAAGTTGATAAGCAAGCTGTAACAATGACACTTGAATTGTATTAATGATTCTAAGGAAAGGAGCTATTCTAATGAAAATATTCACTATCTATTTTGTACACATTGCTGCCTTGCATATAAGCAACTCTCTCCACAACTTTCTTAATTCCCTATGACTATTAAGCCTGTATATTCCCAGAACTATGCTTTGCTTAGATTCCTTCCTTGCTGTCTGTGGGCCAACATCCTTCAGAGTCCCATTTCTCCTAGAAATATTAACAAAGCCATCATTTCCCTTAAATAAAATCTTATTTCCTTTTATGCCTTTTTTTGTTCCTGTTTGTTTATTTGTAAAAAGTAATTAAAATAAAATGGGTGTTTTTGTCATCCAGGGAGCCATTGAAGTAAAAAAAAAAGAATGAAGAATGTAATTGGGCTTTTTTTCTTTAATTATGGTCCCTATTATTTTGAAATTATCATTTCCCTGGCAAGCACTTTTTGAAGTATTTGCATTTAGTGAGACTTCTGAAAGCAGTGTAATTATGGGTTGCAGTACAAAACTCAACATCTAGAGCATTTTGATTAAAAAAACAATGTCCAGACAACTCCTCCAAGAGGTATTGCATGCAGACGAACTGAGAGGCATGTAGAAGCTTTAAAGCCAGAGTAATCATGTTGGAATTTGCTCACATTTTATGTCTTTTTTGTATATCTGTGATTCATGAAGGAATGCATAATATGTGCCTATTATCTTCATAGGGGGTATTTCACAGAAACTCAAGTAAAGATTTGTTTCACATCTCTTGTGTGAATTACTTTTGTTGAAGACTGGGTATTTAAATCATTCTTAGTAACTTATTAAATTCTTTTAAAAGATCATTTGAATCACAATTTCCATGAGTTAAAAGGTATTTTTGTTATAATCTTGTGAGAGATGCTATATTATATTGTCATCTCTGGAACAATTCCAAGCTTATCTACACGACTTCTTCACAATTGCAACTAGTCTTATTTATAAGAGGACTAGAGTTTTAAGACATAATTGCAGCACATTGGCAATTGTGGAAGATATTAACTCTTTAGCAAAGGCTTGTGCATATAAAATGAGTATGCCACACACCTATTTATCACACTCCTTTTGATAAATATTTAGCAGTATTTTCTTAAGACAAGTCATGCAGATCTTTATGATTGAAAGAATTAAAAAAAGGGAGTCAGAAAGCATTTAAAGACTGAAGTGAGATAAATTGTATAATTATACATTTTTAAGTGGAATAACAGGCTCCTTTATATATTTTTTTCCTTTTGTTTGAAAACAGTGAGGCTTGAAAAACATCATATGAATTGAAATGGTTATTCTTCAAACAGGAGTTGTCACAGAAGTTACACAGTCGCAACAGCACTGAAAAGTTGCTCATCAATGCTCTGCTGGATCCCAATTTAGTAAACTACTTAAACATATCAAGTTAGGCTACAGTTAAATGAGCAGGAATTTATGCTTTGCTGCCTGAGGACCTTGTAAAAAATGTGTGAAAAACTTCCTAGATTTTTCTTAAATGTCAAATAAAGGTTGAAAAATAGTAACAAAGCTAAGAAAAATTTTGTCATGGCTTACACATATTGTTGCCATTATTGCCTTAAAAATATGATTTAAAGAGTAAGGTCAGGTTATTTATTCTGCCAAGATCTCTAACTTATGTCTGTCTAGATCTATTGATTTCACCGAGTAAACCGATGTATTTTACTGCTACCATAGATAGTAAAAGATAAATGTCTGAGTTTTGAACTTGAATTTTTTTAGGATGTCTGCTTAAATGTATTTTCTCAGAAATTGATTTGCAACTATCAATAGATATTTACATAAGGAAAAAGGGTAACTTTTGCAGAAACCTTTCTTGCATAACTCTGCAATAAAGAAGTGCTTAAAATATTTGAAGAATTATTGCCTAACTGAGGAACTGAAAATATATTGCTGCTTTTTACTGCGTGGCAGATGGACTATTCAAATATGACCATAATAGTAATAAATAATAATGTGTTTAGTGCTTTATATTCTCAAATCTCTATACAAATATTCATTACAATGTTTCCAAAGCAATGGACAAGGAATAATCACTCAGACTTACCCACATTTAATCTGCCTGTGACTTCCCCATTTGAATTGCGAGCATTCACAGTCACATTGTGAGTAGACTGGAGAAGCAGTGATGAGTCCTGAAGTATGGAGAAAGAAAATAAATATGTTAGATAGTACAATTAGAATTGTGAACCATTTTCAAAATTTTGTCTAGTGTTGGTATCAACACAGTCACTGAAAGGTATTTGCAACTACAAAACTTTCCACAGATCTCATCAAATAATGTGGGCAGATATTTCTGATTACTAATACTACGTCAGATTTAAAGTAAGAAAAATAATTAAAAGGAATATGCCAGGTGAACAAAACCTGTGTTACTGGACCAATGAACATGGCTGCTAAGATTTTATCTTTTGGAAAAAATATTTTAGTACTAGATTCAGTACCTGTCAGTAAATAACTCAAGCCATTTAATTGAGTGTGAGCACTCTAAATAGTATGAATTTGAGAATTCATACTATTGTATTAACTTGGTGAGAAACATGCTGTGCATTCTGCTTCCTCAATGGTCCATGCAGTCTGTGGCCTAATTTTGACACCTGGCATCAGCTCTCCAGGCAAGGAAGCTCTAACAGTGAGTGATGGAGAGAGTGGCAGGCTGACTAGATCAGTGCTGACTTTAACAGATGACAGTACAGGTGATTTTCAGAGTAATCACAGTGGCCACTGTCTTTACTTGACATTAAGTATCAGAAAACTATCTGGGTACACAAATCTTATCACTCATTTGGATTAGCAAACTGTAAATACACTGGTAGACTTCAAAAAAAGGGGAGGAAGTTTTCTGCAGTACAGGCGTTTTCATACTAAAGCACACTTTGTCTCTGGAGGACAAGCACTCAGTAAGTGATGAGAAGTGCCTATGCAGATCTCAGTTGCCAAAGCACCAGGGAATACATGATATGAAGAGAGTACCAGCAAGCTGCCTGCTTGTGACCTCAGTGGAGATACCCAGTCCTAAATAAATGAGTGTCTAACTACTGGAATATTATTAAGAGATCAGCCTCTTTCACAGATATGTCTTCTAGTTATTTTTCTGGACTCACCAGAGACCACATAGTAACTTGAAGGGCTAACCCCTGAAAATAACCCCAAGGCATATTTTCATCTCAACTTAATGCTTAGAGTATGAGACAACCTGAGAGTTTTAAACACTTTTTACATGATGAATTTTACTAAAAACACCTCTTTAGTAACAAAACCACAAATCTGATTAAAAAGTAATGAAATAGAAGCAACACACAATTTGGACTCATAAAAGTTACACATTTTATAAAAGAAAACAAACAGTATCTTACAAGTAGGTAGAAAGGCTCTTTCAAAATAAGTCATTAGGTGAGCAAAAGAAATGAATCACACTTTATAAATTATATTGAGAAAACATAAAAGCTCACAGAATTAACATCAATAATGAAAATAATGAAAAGTCTTAGGAAAAAAGTAAGCCATGTGTTAGAATGAATGGTAGTAAGTTAGTATCAATTGGAAAAGGAAGGCCAACAAAGATTGGGGATTGGGTAAATATAGCACATTTAAGTAAATCTGCTAAATGACCCACGGAGCTGGGCATCTTTATTACATTTATTTGATTATCACTGGTTGATTTAAAAATATTTTAGTAATTTGTGGTATCAAATGAAAGTGTGCATAAAATGTACTCTAGACCTGCTGCTGCACACATGTGGTTTTGACTAATTAAAATCTAGTAACATATTTAAAAATGCTCATCTTTTATCTTTCCATGATGTTTCAGCAAAGGTGCAATGGTCTTGCCCACAGCTCTGCGTTGGACTCATAATAAAGGCATAAACTTGTAATAGGCTCCAGAGACAATGCACAGCAAGTAGATTTTCTGCTACATATTTTCTTAGCACTTTGGAGACCTCATTAGGCGAGAAAATCTGTTAGGAGACTGCAAGGAGAGAACTATTAAGGCAAGGGAGAAAGCTGCTTTGAAAGCTGAGAGGGGCTCAGTTCTCCAAGACAAACGTAGAAAAAGAAAGCTTAACAAATAAGTAATGTTAGGAGAATAAACACATAAATGGCAACTCAGGAGACCAAGCTTCAGGCAATTAAGCCTTTAGAGAGTTCAAATATTTAAAAGAAGCAAGGATACAAACAAAAAAACTATGATGAATTATCAGTAGGCAGAGAGAAGCAGTAGCCTGAAGGATCTAATTAATGCACGCTACTAATGATCATGACGGATCATTGGACAGCTAAGCTTATATTAGATGCTGCCACACCTCTTTCTCCTATATTGTACTAAATGTATTAAGAGCTGAAAGGAATATTAAGAGAGCACAAATGGTAGCTTAACACTGCATAACGATCTTTGGGACTAGAGGGAGTTCTTAAACATTAGCTGTGGTGGTCTTAAAAAGTTACATGTCTTACTGGATAAAAAACCTCAAGGGAAATTCACCAAAGCACATAAATAGTTTTCTCACTGTCTGTGAGGCAGAAAAGAATACAGCATAAGAAGCTAAATGGAAATACAGATACAGTAATGCAATTTCACTGTCATAATTAAGAGCTGCTCCTGAAACTAGAAATATTTAGAGAAAAGTAAAAGCTCAGTATAAGTAAAATATGTTAGGATTGCTTAAATTTTCGTAATCAAGCATGTTAACAACCTCGTTCTGATAAATTTATTTACATTTTCTCTTGACATAGCAATATATACACACACTAACGTTTTTCCTAGGTTCAGAAAACTCACATGGCTGCCGATTTCTTCTCAATTACATGTTTGAAGATATGAAAGAGCCATATTTGGCTTTCATTGTCACTGAATAGTATGTTATTCAATGAAATGACCCAGTGGTTGATGGTAACATTTATAAAACATAAAAATTTATTTCATGAGATGTCGGGCTATGGACAATAGTTCTGGAAACTATTTATTTTATTAGCCAGAAGCAGACATCTCCCTACAAAAAATTCACTGGAATAAGTTTCAGAGTCCCCCTGGATAATTACAATACCAATCAGATGCTCTCTTCCTTTTTCTAAACCCACAACTTTCGCACCTTTCCCTTTCTCTGTGGCATTTTAAAGTTAATAATTTTGATAAATATTTGACCAATCTTGGTATTTTTAGTTTACCTCGCTAGTAATAACAACAACAAACTTTTATGTCTAGGTGAACTAGAGAAAATACTAAGTCTTTCCATTTAGACTTGTAAATTTTATATACATATATATATAAACATGTCAGACATCTCATGGCTTTGTCCTTGAAGTGAAAAAAGCTATATATTTTAGAGAAATCGTAACTTTTCCATTGGGATCCACTAATTTTAGAGATATTGAAACTATTCTATAGTGAATGAATAAACAGAACAAGCAACTTCCTAGGGAAGTCTGTATTAAAAAATAATCTCAGTAAAAATAATGAAAACCTTTTCATACACTCCTCAAGTTTTAGCATTACTTACATACAATAACAATTATAATTCCTGTTTGAGCTGCCTAAGAGATAAACATTAATTCTGACAAAGCATCATAACACTGACCTTGTAAAGTGTGCAGAAATATGTGCATATACAGATATACATGAACATACATATATATATATGTTTGTTTTTTTCTTACATGACAGAAACCATGGAAAGTTCAATTATTCAGAAGTGCATTCATTTTATTTAGCATTTTTGCAAGATTACCCACTTACCACTCTTGAATGGATTTCTTTGGCATAAAGAGGGAATAAGAATTCAGATTCCCCTTCCAGTCGAAGGCCTTCTTTTGTAACACGCAGGTGTCCCATTCCAGTCTGAGGAGAAGATGTGAGAATTATGCACAATTTACTATTGTTGCTGTATCTATTTTGTGTTCTTTTCATGAATTAAACATTTTCAGAACTGCCTGCCTCAAGTCTACTGATAAATATACAAATAGTAATGCATTTAAAATTTTGAGAATACCTTATTTTTTCCCAGGAGTAATGTTCTGTGAGAAATTGCAGGTTTCATGAAGTTATTAAACTTGGTTTGTTGTTTTTTGGGGTTTTTTTTGGTGGGAGGAGGGTGTGGAGTGGAAATACAGTTTTATAGTCATTAAATTAAAAAAAAGTGCATTTGTATTGGCTGTGCTGAAACAGCTTTTGTACTTGCCTTCTAAAAATGTAATGAACAATAAACTTTTATAAATGAGTACTCACATAAAAAAACCTTATATTAACATCTCAGGGTTCATTCTATCAATAATATAAGCCTAGAGAACAGACGAAGAGGGATTTTTATTTGCTTTCATTTTCATCAATAACTTCTTTTTAATTAAGTTTTAATTCATTGGCTTAGTTTTTTCTCCTTCAATTGCAGGTCAAGGCTCTTTATCTCATTATCATATACCTTTTTCTGTATCACCTGCTTCTCAGTTTTTTCATCCTTTCTTCCTTAGTCCTTCCTGCTTTCAGCCCAATTATTCTTTCCAGCTGATATCTCTGTTCTTTCTTTTTACTTCCTTTCATCATTATCATAGAATTGATAATGTGAAAAATGAGTGAGGAATTACTTCAGTAAGTACATCTGAGGGTTTGCAGGCCTCAGCTGCAAGGTATTTCACAGGTATTCAGCTAATTTGTAAAGGATTTGCCCATTTCCCTGACATAAAGAGTGACAGAAAACTTGCCAAAAAAACCCCAAGAAACCAAAAAAACCCCAGCCTTCCAGCTAGGCCACATAAAAATATTTCAAGCCAACTGCTGCAAACTACAAGGAACAGATGGAAGAGCTAAATAAAAAAACAATAAACCCAAAAAATTATTTTCACTCTAAACAGTTTTCAGGTAGTTCTTGATGTAAGCAGAGAGATAAGAGGCCACTAATTACACATCAATAAATTGTTCATTGAATGAATTATGCTTGCCACTGAGAAAAGTTATAATTGAAGAGATGGTAATTGTTTTCAAATATATATTCTGACTAATCAGATTATATATGTATATATGTAATGCTAAGTAACATATCACACCAGCCTTCAATAAAAAATCATAGCTATTTTTTTAGCAGACCTGAAAGGAGACAAAGAGAGAAACGAGTTTTGCTTAAATTCCATAGGGTAAGAAATGTTCATTCACTCCACTGGAGAGTACAACCACAATTCTTCCTCAGCAAGATTTGCTTCAGGAAAGAGGCTTTTAGAAAAGCTATTTATGGAATCTGTTTTTCAGGGTTAAATATTTTACTGTTTTGAAATATTTAATGTACTGACTTTTCTCAGTGAAAACAGATTCAGTTTCCAAACTCTACACCACTGCCAAGCTTTTAAAAAGTACCCAGTATATAGTGATACATCCCGTAAGGCCAAACTAAAATACCTATGATGAGCTTTTATAATGACAATTCCTAGCCAGCACTGACTGATTTAAAAATATGTTTCTCTAGCAAAGACTATGGACAGTTTCTTCTAAGTTGCAATACTCCAACATTATAAAGACACTTAGGTTTTAAGGAAAACACTTGAAAAATCTGATGTAAAATATCAGGATATTCTAAAGAAATACCATTAACAAGCATCACCTCTTTTATTAACCAAATTTAGAGTCTGATGATTTCCTCTGAGCTCATACCTCTTCCCATCAGGTGAAAGTAGTTTATGTTAGCTATCAGGTTTAAATGGAGTTTTTATATTTTTATGGAATAAAATAAAAAGAACTAAATAAGTAGCATATTTCAGAATAAGTACAAAAAAATGACATTGACAAATCTGAAATTTAAGAAGGCAGAGGAAGAACTAGTGATTAATTATTGCTCTGAAGCAGACTGGAAAATATTAACAAACTCCTGGGTGGCAATCTCTGTCCTGCCTTTGGCAGGAAGACATTTTTAGTAGAAAAAGAACAAAAAAATTATGTGAAAAAAAATTATGCAATTTACTCAGCATGTTCTTTCTAATGGATTCAGGTTTCCCAGCAATGATTATTGTGCAAATGCTATATAGACAAAGAAATGTCTCTGGCAAAATTGGTATGTCACATGACAAAACTCAGCACTTTTAACTTACCTAGAAGTTCTTATTTTTTCAGTAAATCCAGTAATATCCCTCAGGATTACTTTGTATAAGTATGTTCTCCAGTATGCCATATTTTCTTATATCAGATATTTAATTTAAGCATTGACACAAAGCTCACATTCTCACATATTTGCCTAACAGCCTCATTATCCATTCTCATTGACCACTTGGGAAGTGCAAACCCAGGAAATTTAGATTTGGGTTATGTGCATAAATGACTATCTGTGAGGACTAACATAAACTCTGTAACATGCATGCCAACAATAAAACTGTGGATTTTATATAATGATCCTCATTTCTATTACCTTTGTGACATGCAAACAATTATTATGTTCTTAGTACTACAATATTTGAGCATCTTAAGATTGCAAAAGTTCTGAGTTATGCAGTACAGCAAGATAGGAGAATTCTATTATGTCCCTTTTATAACTGGCAAATTGAAGTTACATAGAATATAAAATAGAGAGATTTAGAATAAACAACCACCCCAATGCATTGAGATCCAATGCTAAGCTCCATGAAAAGGCAGAGCATAATATTTACACATAATGTTCTCTCAACAACCACTCTGCTCCTTACATTACCAATTGCTTTTTACTGAGTATTGCGGCTTCCTCAGTAGTGAACAAATGTGATGCTTTCTGTTTCAAGGATTTGATTCTGTTCCTATTCAAATAACTGAATATTTGAATATATTTCTAGTGATTTGAGGAAAGGGACACAATATCTATTAGTTAGATGTGGACTTTGATGCAGTCGTACAACAAGCTATTGCTTAGGGTGGGGGGTAAAAAAAGTGCTCCATAAAGACAGGAAATGCATGGCAAGTCGGAATTCTGGTTATCCTGATGCTGGTGACTGTCACTGCTTGAGTTTGCTGGCCCTGAGCTGTAACACACTGTTGCACATGCAGATATAGCTGAGACTCACATTTTGTAATTACTCAAAGCCCTCAGCGAGGCAGGGACGCAGCTGTACAGCAGGGAAGGATGAAATGGCATCTTGCAGACAGCAATCAGGTTTTACTGCTGCAAGGAGCTGACTAGCGTGGAAACTGCTGGCAGCTGCCAAACTCTTGTGTACCAAAGATGCAACTTAGCATTAGTGTTCACACAGGTGTGACCAGTTTTCATTTCAGAACTGTTTCACTTATTCTAACTGCAGCAACAGGATGCCTTCAACTATAGTAGAAACATTTTTTCATACTTTGAAAATGCTCCCAAGCAGGTAAGTGCTTGGAGAAAAAGAGACAAAGCCTTCTACCACAAACATTCAATCTCTGAATCCTCATAAAAGCTCATCAAGACTACTTGATTGAGAAGTCCTGGTCTAAAAGACATTTGACATCTAGCTTTTCAGTGAATTATCTATATAGATACTCCAAAACCAGCTGAAATGAGTAGCCACCACTGCAGAATTCTAGGCAAGATGCACTGTGTTGTGGAACATCTGGATGAGAGGACCATCTTGGATGTCTTATTTTCTTAGACTCTAAACAGACTCTAGACTATTAGGAGTGGAAAACAAGCAGATGCAGCTCTAGGGCTCTTGCACTCACAGTGAGTTGCTCTCAGGTAGCTGAGTCTCATGCTGCCTATGGCATATGGAAGCAAAAGAGCATCAGGTGATTTATCTGGGATTTATCTCCCAGGATTATGACAATGTAGGTCTGCTGCTGTAGTCATGTGGCCATTAGAAATGAGCATGAGGCATGGGGAACACTCATTCAGTTTAAAAATGAGTATTTCTAGTCACCTAAATTTGACGAATAACATAGTTTTTATTTTCCTACCAACACTGAAACTGGCTCACTGATACACACTGGCTCACTGAATTTGGTCAGCCACTCTCAGTATCGTATGTCACACCATATCACATCATATCATCATTGTTTCTGTACCTTCTCAGCATTAGACTCAAATGCAGTCCTCAGGCTTCTCTGAGGAAGTGAAATTGAACTTCTGCTCTGTGTATCAGCTAATAGCTGCAAGGGAAGATGTGTATTTTCTCCTTTTGGGGAGAGATCAAATACTGGAAAGAGGCTAACCCATATGCTAGCATAGTTAAACCAAAGAAATTCTCAAAGTTGATTCTGACATAAGTTTGAACACATATTTAATTCAAATCAAGTAGCTTCCATCTCAGGAGTTAAAAACATGTTTGATTTGCAGTATCTGCTCCCTGAATATTCAACTTTTCCATATATTAAAAGTAAGTCCACACACATTGTAGTGGTCGAATGAAAGCAGTAATGATATTAACTTCAGAGCAGAAAGGATACAGCATTTCCACTCAGTTAAATCCTTTCAGTTAGATCCTTCTTTCTTGTAGGATCCTTACATCCTCCTTCCAGGCCAGATCAGGGAAAGACCTTTCCAAGTTCAGACCAAGACACCACTTGTTGTGGCCCAAAGCTAGTTAAATTAATGGCTTTATAGATTCAGTTTGCACTGCAGCACTTCTTGCAGCAATTACTATTTAGAGAACTTGCTTTGCAAACAAGAGTGTAGTGTTTCATTGAGATAATAGGACTGTGGGTAGAGATTGTTAAAGAGCAATCAGCAAAACAGGATTGGTAATGAATCTGATGAAACTCTCTGTTTGACTTACAATATCAATTTTGGAGCTAAGTACGTGCTTGGTATAATAACATTTCTGATGCCTCATCTCATTTTCAGTTGCAAGGACTCTATTTGCTGGGCTCAGACAGAGGTTATCTGACTCATCTGCGTAGATGACAGTGGAGTAATTTCAGCCAAA